AGTGGGAAAACTGTAATATACATATCCTATAAAATAACTATATATATATATATATATAATACTCTATAATTAAAATAATCACTATTTTATTATCAATTAACAGTTCACACGTTCACAGCGTTCAGTACTATTTTAATTCTTATTATCTTAAAACTAGTAGCAGGAGTTTAAATTTCAGAAAAGTTACGGTTGTCAAAATTATGTCGTTTTCTCTCGGTATAATACGCTTCGATCCCCGCGAAAGGCCGATCCGAAATGCCGGTCCGAATGTCGGGGCCTCGAACGCCCCCCCCCTCCCCTCCCCCCGAGATTCTTTCGCGCGGAGAAGACACGTGCTCTCGGTGAAACTCGTGTGAAATCTCGCCGCGCGGGATGATGCCGCCGGTTCACAGATCAACGTGAAAAATCGGCGAAAGGGCAAGAAGGCGACGTCAACGAGATTTTCACGGACGTCGCCGCCGGTGATTTCAACGATCGGCAGCTGATGCGTAACCGCTTGCATATGCGACGAGCGTGCAGTGTCATCACATCACATTCGCCGGTGCGATCATTTTTTTTATAACGATAACGGCGATCAATCGATTACGTGGCGTGCATCGGAGTGAATCTCGAGGGGGCTGATTGGGCTCCATTGTGTTGGCTCGATTATATGCGGACGTACCGAGGAAACCGCTTGTATCAACAAAATCTACGATCTCGAGAGAGCCAAGGCTCTTCGAGAATTTTCGCAAATCAACATATTTGCACGTAATTTTTTTCTCTAGGAAAATTATCTATTTATTTAAATTATTAATTTAAATTTATCATCAAAGTATCCGTGTATTCGCGAGGTTGTTTTTAGATTTCGAATAGCGGATCTTTTCATTCTTAAAATTAAATTTATATAAGACCGGTTAAGAGACCACGTGTGACCATCGCTATAAGCAGATAAAGCTGTAATATGATTAAAATCAATGAGGACTGCAACTGCAGTCGCTCATCTGTGACTCGGCTGCGGCTCGAGAAATATCAGTAATACTTGTTGACAGCGAAGAATTTACTCTTTGAGAGAAATATATTCGACATTCCTCACGATTAATATATTAAACCATCTCGTGAAGTTTCTCATATTTTTACGATCTCATTAGACGTCGCTTATTTCGAGGAACGCTATATAAATTCCTCGTGAAACCGGAATTCGCGTGTTTAACTTGGTTCGTTCGGGTATATATTTAAAATAACTGATTCCAATTCGATCAGCGAGACCGTGAAATGAGCTAATTAATATTCGCGGACGTAATTTACGCGCGGGCTTTCGTTCCGGCAATGTATTCGAGTCGCGGCCTTGGAACTTTCGATAGAGCACGCGGATGCCGGATCGAGGAGATTTTTCGAGCAATTTTTCGGAGCTACGTGTTGCGCGCCGGACAACGTGCCCGTTATGTCTGGGAATGCAGCGATTCACCGTGCACGGTCGCTTCGGCGTAACTTCTCCTCTTCACCAAGAGCACGTAGTGATGCAAATACGCGACCCGGCGATTCGGCATAAATAAGAACGAAGGAAAGAACATCGGTACTAGCGTAATCGGAATCTCGATCAACATTGAAGCAGCGACACTAGAAAGCAGACCTGCTCTAATCTAACGAAATGACGATTAAAATTTGTCGCGGAATTCTCGCGCGACAAAACCAGGCGTGACCGGACTCTGCTTCTTGTCGCTTTGGATTATCATTCTTGTTGATTGAAACAATTCGCGAAAAGAACGATTGAGGTATCTAAAAATTTAGATACAGATTTGAAAATAATTTTATTAAACTATGAAAATAATTATGTTACGCAGAAAAAAACATTGCTTTTAAATCAAGATAAATATTTCATATAAGCAACAATATTATAATCTTTTTAACATTTTTAGTCTCTCGATAAGATTGAATTTTTATTGATGCAAGAATTATTTTTGTTCAACTCAAGACTAAAAATTTTCTATATAAAGATTATGATATTCTTACTTATATATGAGAATATATATTCTTGATTTAAGACTAATTTTTTTTATAGAACGTTCAAATTGGTTGCTGTGATGTCAAAAATTTTTATAGTATTATAATCATATTTAAACGTTGGTTCACCAAAATTATTTTCAGATTTGGCTTTTTAGGTATTTCAACATTTTTTCATATATTATTTATGCGAATTTTTGCGAATCGTATATTATTTATGCAATTTCCAACAAATGGGGCAATCGCTTCGGCAGATCCGGGAAAACTTCTTCCATGAAATTTTTGTACGAGCTAAGCGGAACGAATGACGATGTTATATCAATCAAACGCTATCAATTTATTGTTGATTAATCTCTTCTCTCTCGCGATTTAACGGTCGCCAGGTGCGAGTTGCGACTCAGAAGGAAGAACAGCTGGCAGCTCGATGGCAGAACGAGGCAATTACATGACGTTCCGAAAAGTAGATCGTGATATTTATGACTGACACGTACCGCTTATTAACACGTTGCATTGCGTAAGAGCTACGTAAGAGATTGCTGTTGCAAGTGTCAAAGGATACGCAATTAATTACAGGTTGCGTGTTTCGGTCACGCACATTCTAGCCTACGCTCGCAAACCCTGTCGCGTTAGTTTTGTCGGATGCACTTGCAATTATAATCGGCAAATATAATCAACCGTTGTTATTTGTCGTCACGCCCTGGTTCGCTACAAAGCGGTCACCGCAGATAGATATCTGGTCTATTAATAAAAAAAAAAAAAATCGAAAACAGCGTTCGTGCGGCGAACCGCGTGAAATTTGCATTCTCGTCTATCGTACTCATCTAGCCTCCCATTTATGTTAATTATAATCGTATTTTATCAATGTTACATCAGCAAATATCCAATCTCAATTATTAAACATTTTTTATTTTCGATAGAGAAATGATTCTTTTAATCTTTGTATATAATACAAAGTCAAGTGAAAGTAATAAATTCATTCTGGACCTATGATTATAAAATTTTCCCGATAAAATCTCTGGCAAAACTAACAGGAACGTAATATCGAATATGTCGTTCCAAATTTAGGTACAAATTATTAAACATTTTTACTTGCGACTGAGACAAGGAAGATGACAATGATTCTTTTGCTCTCCGTATTTCTCTCCGTGTTACATGAAAATAATGAATTCATTCTGAATCTTTCATCAAAGGTTGCAAAATTTTTCTGAAACGAAATCTCTAGTAGAAATAAAATATCAATAAACCTCTAAATCACAAGTAAAGTCTGTAACAAAATATATAAAAAAATATCAACGTGTTGCGCGAGGAGCAAGCGGTGCAATCGCAGCATCGGAAATTAATGGCTTGAAAAAGGAGGTATGACAGGGAGAGCAATCATCATTTTCATCCTCGAGACGCCGGGTTTTCTATTTATGCCCAGCCCGAGAAGAATATCGAAATACGCAGATCGGTATCCCGCGAGATCGTACAGGCCACAACCAGCCAGCCAGCCGGTCGGGCGAGTGAAAAACGGATGGGAGAGCAGTCGGATGTATCACGTTATCCCGAGGCCCCGTGGTTAAGGCCTCCCCCCCCTCCCTTTTTCCCACCCCGTCCGCCATCGCGAGTAAATTAATAATGGATACGGATGCGTGCGCGTAGACTTTCGAATGCATCGATTTCATATTTTCTAAAAAGTGTGTGTCATTAACGTGGAAACGTGCGCGAGTAACGGATGATTGCAGCCGGAGAAAGTGAAGATAATTCGATCGATCCATCGATCGATCGATCGTTGACCCTTCCGGAAGAAGATATAAATTTGGGACGCGACTAAAAGTTTCGCTTCGAATGAACTTTGATTGAACTTGAGATAGGAGTAAGAACAGCCAATGACCAAATCAAACGGTAATTTCGATTTGCATCATTCGGAGAATTCTGAGAATTCTCGTTATTAGTTTTCAGTAAATTGTGTTTCAAATAATCGAGTGTACGCGAAATGATCTGCACATGATCTGTGATCATGAATTTATCTGCAATATCTACCAGGATCTCTTTTATCTTTCAGATAAAAAGACTATAAAAAAATGACCTGAAGATGACTGAAATTGACCAAAACTCGTAAAATCTTGTCTATCTCTAAAAAAGCGTTTATGTTACCAATAAAAAAATCTAGAAGAAATTTATGAGAATTTCTTATCTACTCTATTGCCGAACGCGAGATAAAAATAATTTATGAAAACTTAATAATTGTTCTTGGAGAGAAATCTCGAAGCTGTCATGCGAAAATTCATGCGGATAATGTGGCACGATGTAAGCTTAAAATCTTTTTTATCTTACATGTAAATTCTGAGAATGTTCAGAAGATTACAGTAGATTATGTATATTTCTTTTACATTAGAGATATATAAAAATATACTGAATATGAATGTCCAATTTTTCTTTTAAAATATATGGCAAAATATATTAGAAATATATAGAATATATATATATATATATATAGAAATATTCTACAGAAATATATAAATCTATATAAATCTGAGAAATATATACAGGTTTATACATATCCTTTACAATTAATTGACATGCTAAATATATATGGAAAGAATAATCCTGAAAAAATTCAGCTAAATCTAAAATCTAATTTCATTTTATTTATCTTCATCTTATTTTAATCTAATTTTATCGGACCATCAAAATAATTATGGTTGAGTACGATGAGTATTACAAAATTTTTTATATTCCAATAACCAATTTAAACATCTTAAATAATTATTTTGATAGGCCCAATAAAATTACTTACATATATCCTAAATACGTAAAAAATACATTATAAATTTTCTTTTACTTTATCCTCTGAATGTTCTTAGAATCTGCACACTGTTATAAGAATAGAAAAGATTTTTAGATTCGCGTCATTTCACGCGCATGAAAATTGTAAAAGATTCCCGAGAATCTTGTCCAAGGACACGACCGTCGAAGCTCCCATAGATCACTTCTATCTCAGATTCGACAAGACCGGAGTAGACAGAAAAAAATCATACCCTCGTCACAATCCGGCTCCATATACGTGCCAGGAATGCGGGTCAAGTGTAGATCCGAGTGTCGGGTCTTCCACCGAGCGTCACGCGCGGGGTCGTACGGCCCTGGGCCCGGACCCGAGCGGCGGTGGCCGCGGCGCGGGCACATACGTTCGTCCCGTCGTTCGGCTCGGTCGAGTCCGCCGCGTTGCGTCGGATCGCACGATCCACGTTCGCTCTCCGACGTTCTCTCTGACGTTTTCGCCGTGTACAGTGGGTGTATCTCGAGTGTTCTCGCTGGGTCCGTTCGTCCGTCCGTTCGGCCCGAAGCCGAAGGAGAGAGAGAGAGGTCTCTCCGCGTGATGCGGCTGCGGGAAGCCGCGACGTCGCGATCGTCGTCTTGTGCAGCGTGCAGCAAGCTGTCGACTTCGTGGCCGCGCGGCGGAGGTCTCGAGACCGAGGGGCACCGTCGTCGTCGTCGCCGTCGTCGTCTCCACCTCGTCACCTCGCGCTCCTCCTCGCCTCGGGCGCCTCGTGGATCTCGGCGAGGCGCGACCGATGCTCGCGAGTGAAACGTCATCGTCGTCGTCGTCGTTGTTGTTGTTGTTGTTGTTCCCCGTTCTCTTATTCGTATGCTCGATCACGAGATCAATCCAGATTCGCTTGTCCGTCCATTCCCCTTTTCCCCTTTTCTCCCCCTTTTAATCTAGGTTCTTCCAGCATCTTTCCAGGTTTCCTCCTGCAACGTGAAACGCCGAGGTAAACCGACTGTGTTCGAGGATTTTTCGCGAGTCTTTTTTCTCGCCGTAAAAATTGTAATCCCTGCGGCAATACGAAGAAACGAATATCACGTCGTGATATCGGGGCCCGATCGGAGTCCCGCTTTTCCTTCGTCTTCTCGACACGCTTCGTGAGAAAGAAAGAGAGAGAGAGAGACGTAGAGAAAGAGAGAAAGAATTACAGCTCCCCGAAGTCATACCGGTTTTTGATCCCGGCTTGTATTTATCTCGTACGCCCTCATCCGAGCGAGTTAATTTGTTTTTACGGGATGGATTTTTTTCATCCTCCTCTATCCCCTTTATCCTTTTCTGATGCCGCTTTGACAGCGCGTTGATTGTGCACGCGTGGCAAGACGATTGAGGTGGCGGGGGGGGGGGGAGGGGATCTCGAGTCACGCGTTGCACTTCCGGGGATCTGGAATTCGATTCTCGAGACGACCGCCCGGCGGCCTATATCGGAGTACTGTTATTATAAATGGCGAATCTCTCTCTTTCTCTCTCACGTAACGGTGCCTCGCGAAAGGGCGGCACGACGAGCGTTGTTTACGCACGTAAATTAGCGTGGGAAGCGGCGCCGCCCATGGACAAGATGATTCCTGAAGGCCTTCTTGACCATCAACGTCGTTTGATAGATTGACAGAATAACACCTACCTCGAACAGATTCTTCAAAAATCCGTCCGTCTCTAGAAACTTGTTCTTTGTATCTGAAACTTCTTATACTTTCTTCGTTCTCCTCGCTAGCGTCAAATTTAATATTTTTCTTGTTCCACATACAGAAAGTTTATATAATAGATTTGTCAACTGACTCTTGTACTATGCATCTTTCTTCTTTTTCTGTTCCAACGGTCAATCGTGTCTCTTTATTTTATTTCGAGTGTATCAATGAAAAATAAGTGCAGTAAATGAAAACGGAACAAGTGCAGCTAGGAACGAGTCTTGTATTACGGAATGCTTGTTCGGCGGGAAATATGAAAAAGTCGATTAATATCTATTTTTACCGATATATATTAATTTTAATCTCTGTTTTAGTTTTTATTTTTTTCTCATTTTTGAAAGTAAAAAAGATAAAAAATAAATTAAACCGACTTTGAATTTAATTTCATTGATAGAAATGAACAGTAGAAAAAAAGAAAATTAAATTCAGATTAAAATTAATCTATATTGGTGAAAATGGATATTAATTTGCATGATTTGTATTTATTTTTACCAAAGTAGAGTAACTTTAATCTCGATTTAATTTATTTTTTACCTTTTTTTTAGTTTGAATATCTAGTGCAGATTAACTTAATTTTGGTTTAGTTTATTTTCTATCTTTTTCAGTTTTAGAAACTATAAAAAAAAAAGAAAATAAAGGAAAAATTAAACCAAGATTAAAATTAATTATAACAGTAGAAACGAATTAGAAAAAGATAAAAAGTAAATTAAACCGAGATTAAAATTAATAGATACAGTGGAAATGACTAAGAAAAATTATGTGAAATTAGTTTCTAACAAATTTATGTAGTGATTTTTGAGAAAGTTAAGATAGATTAGAAAATTTGTTTTGTATAAGAAACTATTGGATTAATGTTAATTATAAATTGTCAGGATCACCTTGGCGAGTCGGCATCATGCCTGCACCGAAGATGTCAGTGATCGGTGATTCCATCAGGCTGGTTCCTGCTGGCAGTCCCGCCCTCTTCGAGCTGTCTGCATTAGGCTTCAGCAGCAACGAGATCGATGTTCAAATCATAAGTAAGTGTCAGTCTATTAATTCATGATTTGGTTCCATTTGGGAAGAATGTTTGATGTTGATGCCGAATTAATTGCAGCACCTTCGAAGAGGCACATTCCTGCGAGAATTGACGAGGAACCCGGAAGATCCGGTGAGTTCCGTGTCGAGTTCACGCCGACCGAGGTAGGCAGTCATCTCGTGGAAGTGAGCATCGCGGGACAGAAGCTACCGGCAGGACCACTTGTCGCCAAGGTGTACAACAGCAGTCTGATCCAAGTTACTGACGTACCTAGCGCCGTAGTTGGACACGCCTGTCAATTTAGGGGTGAGATATCAATTATACTTGACTATTTCGCAACCTTGGAATATATCTCAAACCTGTAACATTTGTAGTGGATGCCAGCGCTGCTGGGGAAGGCCAATTGGAGATCTCCATAAACGAGGGAGAGGTACCTAATCACGTCCAGGTAGTGGGAGGTGGTCGTTGCCTCGTGTCCTTCACCCCCGAGGTCGCTAAGCCACATTATATCGACATAAAGTTCAACGGAGAAGCGGTGCGTGGGTGCCCCTTTGTCTGCAACGTGTCGGATACGAGTAGAGTCACGTTGAGTTTGAATCATTTAGAACTAATTCCGGTCGAGCAGCCTGCCAGTTTTCACATGGGAGTCGACGGAAGTGGCAGCGCGGAGCTAGCGGTTTACATAAGGGGTAAGCTTCACGTTCTTATTATTGTGATTAAAGAAAGAATGTAACCGGCAGTAGAATGTAACTCAGCAGAAACGGGAAGTCAATGGAAACCGATAAGATCTTAGAGGCCTAATAATCTTTATTATTTAATATTTATATAAATTCATGATAGTGCTTATATATGTCGCCAACTACATATTAAAAAATATATTTTTTAAATGTAATTCAAGATTTCAAAGAGAGAGATTTCTTATATGTATTTATAATAATACCAAATAAATAATTATATCTAATTTTCTATAATTGGTTGGACTTTTGCTGCTTGATTTTTTGTAGGACCAAATAGTGAGTTGCCAGTTAAAGTCACTGGAAACGTAAGCAGCGGTTTTACCGCGGAGTTTATACCGAAGGAAGTAGGTGTACATTCAATTAGTGTAGAGTACAATGGCTATCCCGTGAACGGCACGCCATTTTTGGCTAAAGCATTCAATGCTGACAAAGTGCTAATCGGGCCTGTAGCCAGAGGCAGTGTCGGTCAACCAACTCACTTTACTGGTATGTGATAGCATTAGGAATAAGTATAAAACAAAGTAAACATTTCTGAAATAAACGTTTCTTATATAATATATTAAATGTGGAGATCCAATTGACGTATTCTTCTGATCGACAGTCGATGCAAGTCAAGCTGGTGAGGGGAATTTGGAGATCACAATATCGGCTCGCGGCCAGAATATACCAACGCAAGTTACGCCACAGGGAAACGCACGATTCTCCGTCAGTTTCGTACCGTTCGAGGCGTGCGAGCATGTAATCAACATTGCTTTCAACAAGAAAACCGTACCCGGTTGTCCCATAGTAACAAGGGTGGGTGGCGATAGCCACGTAACTGTGAGTGGGCAGGCATTAAGCAGCGCTGGATTAGGACGGCAAAGCTATCTGACTGTCAGTAACGTTGCCGGTAGCTTGGAGGATTTAGAAGTTAATGTTGAAGGTAATCATCGCTGCACGAGATTTGTTTCACACTTTGCACGAATTACTGACAAAACAATTTGTTTATATCAGCTCGTATATTTGCTTTATTTAAAAGATTATGATTTGCACATAATAAATCACATATTTGCAATGTTCTAGAAAAAGATTTTTCTAAAACACATGATCGATGCTTTCATGCAAAATTGTTTCTGTTAAGTAACTTGTACACTTGTAATTTGTATATGAATGCACACGCGCACACATATTATATGTGATGTCACAAACAAAAAATGCACAGAAGCATCCATGTATTAATTCATCTTGTATTTAATACCAGAGGGACTTGCTGTTTTGTTTTTAATGTCATGATTGTCGACGTAATTATTCACTAGAGACTTGTACAGAATTGTTCGTCTGTGTCTCGTTAATCTATAGCTTGAGAGCAATTCTCTCTCTCTGTTGCAGGTCGGCCAGCTTTCAGACTACGACATTACTAGACTTCTCAGAAACTAATCTCCCTCTTATCTTAATTTATGGATTAATGCACACGGTGGTGGTGGGTTCCTAACTCAGTTTTCTGAAAAGTCTTGCATAGCGGTAGACTAATTACTATTTTCCTCTACTTACACCTTCTCGTACTTGGTTACCACTTAAGAGTATTCGAGTTCACGAGCGCTTAATTTGGGTTCTACTGTTTGTGGGAGAATGCTACGGAGGTCACATAATACTTCGTAATCGCCCACTTCTTTTGTGTTGTGTTCGCGAGGTGTATTTAATTGAATGTCTGTAAAGCCATTTTTACGGTGCTATATATCTATATTAAGTTGTGTATAATTGTTAAACATTTCAATGCAAAGATACATGCCTTTAAACTGAGATTTATCTTAATACCTAGTGCCTTAACAAGTGTGCCAATATCTCTCTTCTTTTTATGCAACTAGTATACATTTTTATTATCATGTTTAATCTTTCATGAATGAACGAAGCTGTTATAAAATTTTTTTTTCTCTAGTTGATAACACTTAGTACATAATATATTTTTAATGCGTCTTCGCTCTGCCGGTTGCTCTGCTCAGCCAAGCATGGAAACGTATTAGAAGATGATCTTACGTTAGTTCACTCGAGTGCGTTTAATCCCAGCTGAAGCGAGCTAGAAGTGTAACGTACATGAGGATGAGATGTACGGCTTTCTCCCCATTAGTCACAGTAACAATTTTTTATCGTAGCCATTTCTCACGCGTAGTCCGCTTTCTTTAACGTTGCCTGTCGCGCGTTTACGTCATACATAACAATAGCGAGAGCGATCGGACTAGCGCGACCCTCTTCGCTGGCCGCTCCGGTGACCCTGCGATCCACCCCGAGTAGATGGCTGACTCTAAATGATTTATATTAAACGACTAACACGCCGGACTTGATAGGGCCCAATGGACAGGCCGTACCTGCTCAGGTCACTGACAACAAAGATACGACATGCAGCGTGGCGTTCACACCGAGAGTCGTCGGCGAGCACCGGATATCGGTCAACTATCGTAACATCCCGGTGGTCGGCAGTCCGTTCAGCTGTAAGGTGTACGACGTTACCGCGATAAAAGTGAAAGACGCCAAGCGTGGTGTTATCGGAATGCCCGTAACTTTTTTAGGTAGGTTTACGTCACGCCAATGCACCTACGAGACGAGTTTCCGCGTGTGAATTTGAATTGAATCTTGTTTTTTTTTGTTCTAGTCGAGACTAGTCAGGCGGGACCAGGCAATCTGGAAGTCACCGTAAATGGCGGACGTGTGCCGACGTCGGCTCAGGCGCAAGGTCCTCACACGTACGCGATCTCATTCACGCCCCGAGAGCCGATCGCGCACACCGTGGACTTGCGTTTCAATGGGGAGGACGTGCCTGGTAGTCCCTTCAGTTGTCAGGTATGTCGCTCTGCGTCGTGATTTCATGATGATATAAACATAAGCTCCCACTCTGTTTATTTAAAATTATCTTGATAATTGTATATATACATTATGTAATGCAAGATGATCCAGATTTTATTCAGCGATTTCTATTCAACCAACTATACAGGTCAGCGATACGGCGAAAGTACTGGTAACTGAAGTACTCGAGAAAGTGTCTGTGAATCGTGTCGCGACCTTCACAATAGAGGCCGACGCATCTCTCGGCACGCCCGTCGTCGAAGTGCTCTCTCCCACCAGAGAGAGTTTATCTGTACATGTCAAACAGAACAGCCATGGCACCTACACCGCTGGATTTACTCCGAAGGATGTTGGTACGTCTACATAAATCAAGTAAGAATTTTGCTATTGTATTTCAAACGATACTCTTAATATAGGTGATCATAGTGTCGAGGTGAAGCTCAGCGGATCGCACGTAGAAGGCAGCCCGTTTCTCGTTAAAGCTTATAACGCTGATAAAGTCAAGGTGACGGATATAAACAGCGGAGTCGTCGGAAAACCAGTATTCTTTAGCAGTAAGATCATTTCCTTTAATCCCCTTGATAATTGCAATGAGCAGAATTTTATGTAAAATGCGTAATATTCTCTTATTTATTCCAGTCAATGCGAGTCAAGCTGGGGCTGGAAATCTGGAGATTATAGTCGCAGTGAACGGCAAGAACGTCCCGAATTATGTGCAAAGCGAAGGCAACGCGAAGTTCAGAGTTAATTTTAAGCCACAAGAAGCCGCTGTACATAGTCTTAGTGTTCGTTTCAATGGAGAACCAGTCCCAGGTAAGAAAGAAGTTTACACGGTTGCATAATTTTACTGGCTATGTCTTAAGTTTGTTCGGTATCAATGTACCATCTAAATTCCCAGGTTCACCGTTCAGCTGCAAGGTGGTAGGTGCGGGTCAAGCAACAATTTCCGGTCACAATCTGAAAATGAGCGCTGTGAAGCGATTGATGTCTTTCACAGTGGATCCACAGATTCCATCCACGAACTGTGACGTTATCGCGACGCTACCGTCAGGTATCGCTTTGCCCATCACCATCGAACCCATTGACGGCAAATATAACGTGAGCTTCGTGCCTACGGAAGTTGGCAGACACAACATCAGCGTCTTGGTGGATGGTGAATCGATAAAAGGCTCTCCGTTCGCTTGTAATATTTATGATGTAACTAAAGTAAGTTCTCAAATTGTATGATCAGAATGTATGTTAGATATTTTCAATATTAAATTTAATTAACTGTTGTAATAATTACAGGTACACGTATCTGGCCTTACAGAGGCGTTGCTTGGTCAGGCAACTACATTTACTGTCGATGCCGCAGAAGCCGGCGAAGGTACGCTAGAACTAGTAGTTAGCACAGAGAACAATACCGTAAAGGCTGAGGTAGTGGCTTGCGCTCGTGGTCTTTATGACGTCACGTTTGTGCCACAGACGACGAGCACGCATTATGTTAATATCAGTTTCAATGATGACAATGTGCCAGGTAAACAATTTCATCGATGAATGCTTACAAAAACTAATTTGAAAAATTAAAGAACTCACTATGCTGATTTTTTACATTAGGAAGTCCATTTAAATGTCCCGTCATTAGTGGCATGTTACACGGTCCATCGATGGTTCGAGTCGGTAATACGGCATACATAGATCTAGACATGTCCGACTTGCACGGTCCTGTAGCCGCTGAAGTAACCGGTAAATTATTCATTACTACAACTAAAAAATCTTTTTCAGATTATGCGTAATTTGTTAATAATGTTTTATAATTTTTTTTTCTTATTTAGGTCCAGATGGAATAATCATTCCGTGTACGTTAACCAAATTATCGTCTAGTTTGTATCGCGTGGAAGTTCGAACGCGGCAAGTGGGAACGTACAGTATAATATTCAATGATGGACACAAAATGGTCAGTTCACAAACACTTCAAGCTTTCGATCCCGGCAGAGTTTCTATTAAAGAAATAGCAGACGTGGTTTGTCATCGACCCGGAACCATTTTAGGTAATTATTTGCATGTATAAATTTAATAAATATCACCATAGTAGGATGTAAGCTATTTATGAAATAAAAATACGAATAGCATTTTATTTCTTCCTTTTATTTTCTTACAGTTGTCGCATCGAAGGAAGCTGGTCCTGGAAAGTTGTCTGTTAATGTACGCGCCGGTGGTGCAGACGTGGACAGTCTCGTGAGAGAAAGGGAGAGCGGTGTTTATGAAATTGTGTTTCATCCTACACGAGCCGCACCTCACAGAGTTCACATAAAATACAACGAAGTCCACATTCCTGGTATTGTATCTTTATACCTTTATCTTTAATAGAATTGTCTTCATTCTATTAGAATCATTTTTATTAACGTGAGATCTTAAATGTCAAACAACTAATTGCGCATCTTTGCTTATAAATATATGTCGCATAATTTTAAATATTTTAATAATACTTGATATGAATTTTAAATTTTTATATAATTTATTGCTAATTTACAGGAAGCCCGTTGGATGTGACGGTACGTGGTCCGACAGGAGGACGAGAAGTGACAGCGACGGGATTAGGTCTATATCAATCGTGCGTTGGGAAAGTAACATCCTTCACGATTGAGACTCTCGGACGTCCTGGCAAGGAATTTGATGTGGTCATCAGTGGTCCGCAGGGTAACGCCGTACCCGTACGTTGTTATCAACATCGCGACGGCAATCTGCTCGCCGAATTCACAACAAACAGCGTCGGTAAGATCAAAGAAAATTTTAGCATGTAAAATATCTCGAAAGAGAAATTGAAATATATATATATCATTGAATTATTTATTTAGGCACGTATAAAATCGACGTGTTGCATGGAGCAAAGCCTGTATTGGGTTCGCCATTCTTCTGTCAAGCCTTTGACGCCGCTAAGGTGAAGCTTCAGGAATTAGGTCCCATGACGATTTCAGTTCACGATCACATCGCTTTCAAACGTGAGTGATGATCACAATGCGTGCACATTGCGTGCATTTCTAACAAACGTTATCGATACTACTAATAAGAAAGATCAAACATATGGACATCACAAGCATTTTGAGCAACGTTTTTATTATAACAATTTGCAAATTCAAAATATTGCAAATATTTTTTTATTTCCTTGAAAAATTAATAATAAAAGACCAAAAATTAAATCTCAAAAATGAAAATCATCAAAAAGATATCAAACTTACTATAAATCTTATTAAAAACATACATATACAATTTATTCTTTTACTTAAATAAGAATATAAAATCTTGAAATTTACAGTTGTTAAATATTCTGCTTTTCTAAAAATGTAATACTTTTCATACACGTATGATTCACGGTTCACATACAGCGCCTGTGTACGGCACGGTGTGATTCATTTAATAATTTTTTATTTATTAGCAATCGAAATCGTTTTCACACGCGAAGAAAGTATCGACGTGACCTAAATCGAGCGATACGATCAGAATTGAGTTATCGGAGTTAAGAGAACCATGTTAACTGCTAAGTAATTGCCCAGATTGGTGAAACATAAACGCGCCGCGAGAGCATGATATCACGCTTATTTGAAGTGTAAGCGTATATCTCGGTGTTGCGTCTCGCGCGCTTATGTAAATGTACCGTGTACGCATAGGCGGGAGAAAGTGGCGAACGTTTTCTAGTGCACTATATAACTATGCAGCTACGTTTCAAGGCCGCGTGTAGGATACAATCGCAGCAGCAGATAACTCAGACACTACGTAGACTACTTTCAAATAGCCTTGCCTTACACACCGCCGAATGAACCAGTCGCGATACACATCGCGCGCGGCGCGATACCAATTGAAGAGTCGCGATCGCACATTCGTTCGGCAACGATAGATGTAAGAATCGCAGATATATATACGATCGGCAATTCATCGGCAAAACTCGGTGAATGATTACAGTGATGAAAGCCGACGCCGGCACGGCCGACCTGGATGTAACGGCAACAAGCCCATTGGGTCAGGAGATCCCGTTGCAGGTCACGCCACTCAATGACGGCGCCGAGATGATCGAGTTCTCGCCCAGCGTGCCCGGCACTTATATGATCAACGTCACCTACGGTAATCAGACGCAAGGAGTTTTATTCTTGAGAAAGCAGTCTCTTACGTATTGTATTTATATTCATATTTACATTCATTGATGATAGGCGGATGTTCCGTGCCTGGAAGTCCAGTGGTATGCACCGTCGATGCGGCTGGGCAGGCTCGCGCGAAAGGCGAAGGATTGCTGAGCGGTCATGTGGGTAAACCGGCACACTTTATCGTCACCGGCACGCGAAGTCCGCCAGCCGTTCAGGTATTTACATACGATATGCAATAAGGAAGTCGCTTCGTCAAGTTGCGCGTAAGATGAGCTGGATTCTTTTTTAACCGAGCCATATGCAGGTGGACGGACCGGACAGTGTTTCCAAGGCTACCATCGAGGCTGGCGCTAATCCTGGCACGTGGAATGTGTCTTACGTGCCGACCGAAATTGGAGTGTTTGATGTGAGGGTTGTTTCTGCCGGGCAACAACTGCCGGGATCTCCGTGGCATCCGAAGATCGTCGACACGCGAAATCTTCGCGTTATCGGTAAATATTTGAAATGACATTAAACACTACTAAATATTTCTGTTGTGTTCACTGTGTATTCATGACAATTGTAGGTGGCTGGTCTGCTGTGTGCGACGATATCGGTCGCTTGAAACTGCATCCTTCGAACAAAATCAGCTTCGACACCGCGGAAGCCGGACCCGGTGAGATCAGTGGTACGGTCGGTGATCATCCTATATCTTTCGAAATGACATCGAGCAACAGATTAAAACTCGTTCCGCCGCAAATGAGCAACGGCGAGCATCGCCTGGAGATATTATTCAACGGCACACCGTTTCCTGGCGCACCGAAGCTTGCGATCGTGCAGGATTTGGAGGTGTTTCATCAATCAAGATTTTGATCTCATTTTCAACTACATTTTTTTATCGCAATTACATTGTGCGTTCTTTTTGTAGCCACCAGTGCAGGATACAAGTCGAGTGTTATTGAAAGGGCGAGGATTAACGTCGGCGAAATGCGGCGAGGAAGTCAGTTTTACTATAGATGGTTCTCAAGCTGGAAATGGGACCCCAAAAGTGCAATTGTTTTCGCCTACTAGCGAACTTAATGTTATGTTACAACATCTGGGTAAGAGGAAAAATTAGTGAAGCTATAAATACAGATGAGAACACGATTCTGAATATTTTTTTTTGTATGAAATGTACAGGCGACAGCGTCTACCGCGCAAGCTATATACCACTAACGCCAGATCCGCTTTTGATGACTGTGTCGTGGAATGGAAGGCAATTGAAGGGTTGTCCACTGCAAATTAATGTTACAAATGCGGCCGACGCATCTCGAGTTATTTGCTCCGGAGATGGACTGAAACACGGTGTGGTAGGGCAGGAAATCCGAAGTTTCATTGATACTAGAAGAGCCGGACCAGGTAAAGACTCGTTTCATGTCTATGAATAAATATTTATTGCTTTCGATTTTTTTTATCAAAGACTCGTTTCGCAGGTGAGTTAACGGCACACTGTGTTGGACCACACAAAGTGGCGTATTGCGAGTTGTATGATCACGGTGATGCCACGTTTACGCTGAATGTGAAGCCTCAAGAGGCGGGACGGCATGCATTAACGATTAAATACGCTGGAGAACACGTTCCCGGTTCTCCATTTACGCTACGTGTCTCCGGCGCGCCGGATGCTTCGAAGGTATATAACACTTACAAATGCTAACAAAAATTCCAGATATTTTAATATCAAAATTTTTCAAGTTCAAAACCCTGTAATTATTAAGTTTAATAAATTTCCAAATTAGAAAGTGAAATAAATGTTATCACAATTAATTAATGAGATATTATAGAAGTGAAATTTTAACAAAATTAAATTATTGAATTAAATTAATTGGCATGTCCGAAATATTAGGTTCGCGTTTACGGACCAGGAATTGAACACGGTGTACTGGCGACTTTCCAATCGCGATTTATCTGCGACACACGTGGCGCCGGCGCCGGTCAACTTACAGTAAGAGTACGCGGACCTAAAGGTGCCTTCAGGGTAGAAATGCAACGAGAGACTCAAAAGGATCGAATTATTCTCTGTCGGTACGATCCGACGGAACCCGGGGACTATAGAGTGGAGGTTCGTTGGGCTGGTGTTTTGGTGCCAGGTTCTCCATTCCCCGTTAAGATTGTCGATACGCAAGACGAATTACTAATGCTCACACAGGTAAAAATTATGTAATTACTATTTTGAAATTTACATGTAAAAATTAAAAAGAGAATTATGTATTATGACTTGATACAGTAATTTAAAATGTTCAATTAAAAATTTATTACAAATAATTATATACATTATATATAATGAATTACACATAAATGCTAATGATAGTATTCAATGAATAATAAAATTAAAATGGATATATGGATGTATGCGATTTCAGGGCGGAGATAATTATTCGACAGGCCATCATACTATCACATCGTGGCGTGGATCGCAAGCTATATTGTAGAAACGTCACGACTAACATTGTTATTATATTTTGTATGGACTAATATATTCGATAATATATGGTAATTATTGTAACTTATGTGCAAATGTTCCAATAAACTCAACATTCCAATATATTTTTTCTGGTTTATACATAAAAAACATATGTACAATTTCGAAATAAATATCGATTTATTCATATTCTATCAATGAGAAAGCATTATTATCTTTTCTTTTTCTTTTCTAGCTTGCTGAGATCCCTAAAGATTTCTTTCTTCGCTTGCTTTTGTTTTTCATCCTCTTGGCTTCCTCCTCTGCAATCTGCGCCTGGCGCTCGGTTATTCTCTTTGTCATAGCTATCTTTTCTTGCTTCTTTTTCTCATTATAACTCTTTCTGATCATCTTCATCATACGCGCGATATTTTCCTCTCGGGGCTCGCGCACCACAGCAACTCGACTTTCCTTCAACTTGGGTTTGCGCCAGTGCGGCACGCATTTATTTTTGGGCTTGTCTCTGTACGGAAGCTCCTTCTGCAATTTGCGCGGTATGGACAGCGGTTTAAACACCTTGACGTCTCGCTCGATCGGCTTGTATATTGAGTTTTGTTTGGGCTTGTTGATTATATTTTTTTCTCGTTTCAGTTCGCTCAGACTTCTCATACCAACCCACTGGTCTTTTTCCCCGGGCGGTAGCACCAGTGACAACACCGGTGCATACCAAGGCTCCAGCAAATGGTTGACCGAAATCCATATCTTGCAGAACACTATATCACTCTCCTTTATCTTGTCTTCGAAGGTAGCGCGAAAGAGACCGTCCGTACCAATAGCCTGCTTGATCTGACCGCGAATACCCGACACTGTTTGGATCTGAGCATTCTGGAACTTTGCGACCTCAATGGCAGAATTGAACATCTCTTTGATAAGCGCAGTCTTGCGGTAGATTTTCGTCGGTTTGCCTATAAGTTTAAGCGCCTTCTTCACCTTCTTTTCGTCTGTCTCTATTATCGAACCAGTTGCCGCAATACGAAAACTTGTCTCCTTGTTCGAAACCTTCTGCACCGCCAGAATTCCTGTACCCTCCGGAATCATCGGGCCCCTGAAGTGAACTGTACATGGCATGTGCTCCGGAGTGTATTTCAGAAACCGATGAGACAGATTGTCTTCCTGCTTGGAGAAAAGTGTACGCGATTCAAATCTGCGCCAACCTACGGAGAAAATAAGCGGATCGCCCCACCTCAAGATCTTTGGAAACCATCGATGCTTCTTAATACGCGCTTGCAATTCGATACCATCCCAGAGCTTTGCTAATCCAAGAGGTTTCTTCTCCTCTTCGCCAGGCAACAGACCACCGATGACGATCGGATATGTTGGATCGAAATACTCTATCAGCTCACATGTCACCTTTTCGATTTCTACGCGCACATACATACCGGGACGGTAGCCTTCCAACTGAAATCTGAAATAGTCATCCAATCCTTCGAACGCCGACTTGTTGATATCCGCCTGTTCCTCCACCTCGGCCTTCAGTTCATCATAGTATGTCTTTTTATTCGGATTATCATAATCCGCATCAAATTGCTCCTTCAATTTCTTCTTCTTTTCCAGTAGCTTCTTTCTCTCCTCTTCCTCATCCGCCGACAAATTTTTGGGAGCTGCATCCTCCGTTTTATGTTTTTCCCCAGTCTCCAAATCTTCGAAGTCGCCATATACATTCTCGTTATCCAGCTTCAAAAGCTCTTCCGCGTCCTCCGATTCTTTCCATGGGCCCGTTACGAAATATTTCATCAACAACGTCTTGTTCTCTTCTTTCAGCCAATCACGCATGTTCTCCATTGGATAGAAAACGGACTCCTCCTGATCCTGCAGCTCCCGCTCGTGTATCTTCTGCTGTTGTTGTTCTTGAACCATGCGGAATATTCCGCCGATATCGTCACCAGACTTCTCGTCCTTTTTATCCTTCTTTTCCTCCTTTTCCTCTTTCTGATCAAATACTCCATAAACCAACTTCATCAAGTTCATATTTCCTTGCTGGCGATTTATGAAGGCTTCCCTCGCCTTTTCAGCTAAATTTGTTTTCCACTTAAATTCATCTGGTGTTTCATCTTCGTTCTCGTCTATCCTGACATCGCTATCCTTTTCTTCTTGTTTATCTTCAAAAATATTGCCTTCGAAATCATTGGTTCGTTTTGCATCGGTCATTTCTAATCTCGCATCTGAGTCTTCATCTCTGAACTCATCGAAGCTTTCATCATCCTGCTTTATGTTCTTCTTTGTTGTTTCCAAAACACTCAATGCTTTTGAGATCTTATCTCTTATCAACTCATCTGACTTTTTACTCAAAGAATGATATACTTCTACGTTTTCCTGAAGATTCTTCTTTTTATTGTATATTAACTCACTCTCATTGAGACTTGTGTTATCATTTTCTATAATTGCATTATCTTCTACAATTACATCTCTTTTCTGCTTCTTTTCGATATCGTGCTCCTCAGTATTTTTTCTTTTAAAGTTTTTTCTAGCTTTTTCCAAAGTTTCATCATCATTTGATTCATCCTCATCATCGTCATTATTTTCATCTGTTTCGTCGTCGTCATTCTCATCATCTTCATTCAAGGCATTAAAGGCATTTTCCATATTTGTTTCGTCATTAAATATTACTTTTCTCCGAATTCTTTTATCCTCTGTGATTAACTTACTCGTATAAGGAGCCATATTCTCGTCGACGTCCTGTGACTTGATCGGCGCGGAATCGCTAAATAGTTTCAGCTCTCTCTGTTGTAATTTCTGGTCTAGCGTCTCCTGTATATCTATGAAATCATCGATCAGTTCTGTATCTTCTTTTTTGTAGGAATGACTGCCACCCAATTCTACGTAAACAGCATCTTTGTCATAAATTAAGCCACCGATGCCAGAAAACGGTGCATAAATCAACTGCTCCTTTTCTACTAAACTTCGCTTCTTAATCTCCTCTGGAAGTGGACAAGGATCTGATAAAATGTTTATTTTCTTAATCTTCATATCTTCCGAATAACCGGGTATATGAATAAAGGTCTCGTTATGCAAAGGAATTCCTCGGACATATCTGAAAGCAAATTTGGTTGTTTTTTTAAAACATATGGCAGTTTAAGAATAAATTAAGAATAAATTAAGCTGAGAATAAAGTTAATCTATATTGACAATAGTAAACAAAGAATCCCGAGTTCGAGTCTGATCATAAATATTCTTGTCTCTTATAATAAAAAATATAGACAATTATTCTTCCTTACCCGTATAAACTGACAGTTCTGTCGACTACTGGATTCTTTCTGATCATCTCCGGTGGTGTTATGTCTTCTACTCTATCGACGACTATGTAAGGATGAGTAGTACGCCAAGTTAAAGGCCTGTATTTCATGATTGATATGTATCGTGCCAGATTCTTTACTTCTGCATATAGATACTCTCCATGCAACAATCCAGACAGATAGAACAACTTTGCACCAGCATATAGCTGTAAGAATATAAAAACCATATTGTAATTAATTAGTTGATAAGATTCAGAAAATAGTTATAAAAAATTATCGTGCAGATTAAGTGTCATGATTTGTAAAGAAAGGATTTCGAGTTCAAATTCTCCTTGAGGTTTCGTTAATTTTCCAAATTCCTACATACCTCTGTCCAGAAGCGATGCTGCAGCAGCTTCTTGGTCTTCCTCATCTGAGTGACATTCTTTATCTGATCTAGATGAGTAAGGACTCCCAGAATTTTGGGCATGCCATGCACTTGACACATGTTCAGAAATTCGAATGTCTCTAATTCAAATCCAAAGGAAGCATCTACCAGTAATAATACCAAGTCTGCCACTTTGGCAAGATCAATCATGCAATTCAGATCATTATTGCATTCCATGAAGGTGACCCTTTGCTTTTTGCTGGTCACAACGGTAACCGGGCCACGTATATTAGTTAATGGTTGTCTGATATAGCTTTTTATTAAGCATTGAATAAGCAGCGACTTTCCCACTTTTGGTGGGCCTACCACGGCCACGAAGACTGGTGGTGGTTCCACAGGCTTTCTATCAATTACAGGTATATGCTGCTTCTTAGTTTCAATATCCTGTTTTCGTCTAAATCTCCTCTCTGCTTTAACTGTAGAATGAAAAGTAAACGCTTTTGGATTCCTCTGTTTGTCCGTCAGTTCCTGCACATGTTTCTTTTTTGTCTTCTTCTTCTCAGCCTTGCGACCGGCATTGCGGTCCCTATGACTTTTATGCTTCACTGTATCCTCATCCATTGTAAACAATATGTCTTCCTAGTTTCCTCCACTTCTTTATTTTCTCTGCTCGTTAATGCCAATTAAAAATCCGTAATATTATTGTAATCATTTATAGATTGTTTACATCTTTTAGTATTTTTTACAACTGAAACAAGATAAATATATGCGGATGTTAGAGAAAGAACAAGAAAGAAACAACAGAAATATAAACTTCTTTCCTTCACAATAGGAGAAAGTAGTTAACAATTATCTATAACATATTATAATATTAAGATATTTCATGTTTACAAGCTTTTAAAATTAATAGATATAAACTTCTTTTTTAAAAAAAAGAAAATAACAGTTATATATAAGATATTATTACAATTATAGTGAGCAAAGTAGCATAAAAACTGAATAAGATTAAAACTTATAATTTATTTAAAATTTTCATAAAGTTTATTTTCACATTAAACCTGTCCATTTTTAGATAGAGGGACATGGAGGAAAAATAAACTGTGCAAAAAGTTAAACTAAAAAGAATAGATTCATTATTTTAATGTTGTAGCAGCTATATACTGAAGATGGCTTAACCTAAAATCAAAATATTTGTATATTGATATTATTAAGCCCTTTTAGATCTTTTTAGCTGAACTTTTTGTGCTGTCTATCTTTTGTCTTTTCTTCTTTGTATATATAAAGTGGGAAAAACGGTGCAAGTTCAAGAAACAATAAGCCTAGTATTACTGATATATATCACTCAGATATATTATTCAGAATATTATACTCGACTTTTACACTCCTTTACCACAATTTTTTGTGAATTAATAAGCTTCTTTTTATTATATTATTATAACATGAAGATATCTTTCTAATAGAGTTATCGGCACGTGTCTAGAATTTTTAAATTCACTTCTTTAACACAAACATTTTGCGGCATTATTGTTGGAATATTTATAGACTTTTACAATTAGTGTAAATATAAATTTTCTTTGTGAAAGGAGAAATTAATTAATAATTATGAACTTACGCACATGGATATTCGCCGTTTCGATCTTAGGTTATATTACCAGGAGATGCATATAAAACATCAAGGAAAACGAGGCAACCTAGCGATGTTCGACATAATGTTCGCACATGCGCAGTAAAGCAAGTACTGAATTTCAGTCACAAATATGTAGTGGTAGTGTAATAAGAATAAGTATCACTAGATAGTGAAATTTGAATGGTCACTTTTAATTACGTGATCAATTTGATACCGAAAATGAGCGTCCAATATTAAAAAGCAATTAAATTTGTTTCTAAATACGTTAGAGGAATTTTTCTGCATAAAAAGACATAGGAGGGAGATTGATGCATTCTGTGTATGTACCATTATTTTTTACGATTCATAAATAACTTCTTATCCATCGTTTCTTATATTACCGTAAAAGGAAAAACAAAATAGGTCAAGAACGAGAAAGAAAAGTTAAAAGAAAAAGAATAGAGTCACAAAAGAAATCTGGATTTTTTGAAGATAATGATATCAAGAATGAAGACATATATTTTTTCAATCCTCATTATTAATTGCAATTTTACAACAAATTTCAAAACATTATTTTGTTAGAAACAATAATCACAAACATAATCAGTTAAAAATAAGAATCTAAATTTCAGTTAACAAGCTTTCGAACGTTTTCACCGTATTTTTTTCTCCTTTTTTTCATCACGGTACAATAAATAATCTTTTTTTTTTTTTAATTAAAATTCTTTCATAACGAATCATCTATCAATTTTTCCTTTATCAGCAGTCTACCTTTTTATATTCATTTTTAATCATCTCATGCGTTTTCCCACGAGTGTTAATTTAGAAAAGAAGAATAATTTCTCGATTTAGCGTTCTGCACGTGTGCACGTGTGAGGATCGATTGTTGTTATTTTTCGTCGCACAGCCCACGCGATAATACGCTTTGCATACTTTACAATCGCAGACCTCCTCGTGTAATGTAATGCGGAGGTACAACGTGTGTCGCTTTAACCGGTCAGGAAATTGCCCCGGCGAAAATATATATAACGAGTCCGCGCCGGACCCTTTAGAGCCGAACAATGCGCAGCGGCGATTGGAAAGTCATCAATCATGTATCCTAATTCGCGCGGTGCTGCTGCGTGATATTGTAAAATTTCCGACGATGATCGATCGCCTTTGAACTCCCGGGAGAACCGACAGAGATCGCCATCTGATTACCGCGACGCGTTGGCGCGCGAGACTCTCGCCGTGGCGATGCCACATCGCGAAAAACAGAAAAGAAAAGGAGAATTATAATGTAATTTTTCAATGAAGCATGAGAATAGATTTTTTTTTTTTCTAGCAATTGCAACGAAATGCCACTTTCTATCGGCGCTCAATTTCGCCTCGCGACAGGAGCGCGAATAATTAATCCTTTATAAACCCCTCGACTTTTTTTCGTGTTTTTGACCAAATTGTGAAATAAATAAAATGTTATTCAAAAAACATAGGTACAAATATAATGTACCTTTAAAGTTACACAGCATTATGAAGGATTAATGCAAATATCAATAATGATGTTTTAAAATCTTTACGCTAATATAAATTTTTATTTGCGATAATAATAATATGTAAATATACCAATAATATTGATTAATATATTAAAATATATTAATAATGTGTAATACTGATAAGAGTATAAAATAACAGTGTAATAAATCGCTTTACATTCGCTTCGGTTTGAAATTCGAAATGCGGTCACTTGTGAATCTCTCACATGTTATACACACGACTATACACTTTGTTGTACGTTGAAAAAAAAAATATCTGGGAGGTTCTCCTAATGAACTGCTCGTGTCCGGTTCGCGCGCTGTGGTTTCGGTCTGTCAAGCCGAACTGACAGCTGTCATCTTTTAAAATCGCAACCAAAAAAGTTGTTTAATATACGAATGTACGTCGCACATCGCACTTGTCCCGCAATTGAACCGCCTCAGACCGCAGCGAATCGCCATGACGATTGGGGGGCGACTTTCAAACGGGGATGTAATTTTAGGGTGAACGCATTTAAACTCAATCGACTACTGCCCGGAAGAGCGTCGCGTTATTTTCCCTCCATCGCGCCGTTTTTTCTTTTTTTTTCCGACAGAAATTGCACACATTTTTTCTTATTACGACGGGACTCTGAAAGTGAAAGCAAATAGACCGTGAATTTACCGTACGGTAATTTTTGCTTTGAAAAAAAAAAACATAGATCTATGAAAAACATTAATTATTCGTATTAAAAATCTTGTATATTTGGAATGTAAAATATGAACTCTTGTCGGAAATTTGTACTCATTTTACTTTGATTGCCGAAAGGTCAAAGATTAAAAACGGCATTAAAGGGAGATATCTTGATTTAGAAGTCTCATCGTAAATCGATGGTGTGATAATCGAAACCGATTAATTTAATGTCAATGTGACTCTGGACATGACTAGTTGATGGCAAATCAATTCTGCAAAGGACTCAAGGGACACAGATGGTGCTAGACATCGTGATTCAACATAATCGGGAGAATCCCGTTGCCCTACATGGCTTTAATTGGGAAACAAAGATGTCTCGTTCTGTGTCGTACAATCTTATTACTTTTGTATCGATCCAACTAAATAAATTTAATCAAAGTAAAAATCTTAGCAATAATAATAATTAATAGAGGAGAAAATTTTTTTTATTTCAATTCAAAATCCTTTAAACGAAAAAAGAAAGCTAATTTTTTTTTCGACTTATGTATAGTACACATTGCAAATTACGATAAAAAATATAAAAATTTGAAATAATAATGATGATGAATTATTCTGTTAAACTAGTCTACACGTATATACATCTCTGTAACAATTCTTCAATCTGTGACAAGTAATATGTTAAACAATAAACTGCGATTGATAGAAAACGGAAACATTTTTCACATAAGAATAACATGGTAAATAAGTGTAGCATAAAAACAAAATTCACAATCGCGCGAATGTAATTTCTACGACAATCCCTACTCGGACTTTCTCGATTTCACAATGTTGCGGCGGCGCGACATCCAGTCATCGCGGCAGATTTACGAGGGCAAACACGAGGAAGAGCGGAGCGGGTATAACGCGAGTATAATCGCAAACGTTTCATAATCGATACACTGGCCGACCGTCATCGTCCCCGTAACGTGATCGGCGATAAATTCATATTTCCGATCGGTCCGCGTCACGATCGGCGGCGGCGATCAACAAATCGTAAAGCGCAGGACGATCCTCCGCGCGACGTCTGGTCCCGCGTGTGCGGGACAATGTCTGCCAATTATCGGACGATTGTCGGTGGCCGCCAACTGTCGGCGATGCCTGGTCAAGCTGCCGGTTGATCGGGGGAGTGACTGACCATTGCTCCGGTCGACACGTCGTTAACTTTTGTCGACCGGAGAACCGCTCCATCCGGCGCGCTTCGTTTCCGCGAGACGCAAAGTGCGGAACAAGAGCGCGAGTTGTGCAACGTTAAAGCGGATATCACATTCGTAATTGGGAAACGAAAACGAAAGGGTTTTGTGGGGCTTAAGAATGATGTATGAGGAAGAAGCGATTTCGTACGCTGAAGCGTCTAAGAAATTAATCCGATAGAGTTCAGATCTAAAGAAAGTTATTTTGTACGGTCATTAAAATAATTATACAGGGTATTCAAATTGGTTGCTAGAATATTAGAAATTTTTATCAGCTGTATCATCATCATGCTCAAATGTCATGAGCATTAAGCTACAATTAATCTTAATTGTTGTAATAATGAATAAATTATTTTTTTGTATCTAATCAAATGTTTAAATATAGTTTGACAATATATTTCCGTGTATCTTTTTTGTCTTTATAACTTGAAAGAGTGAATCTGTATGATAATATTGAACACGTATGATAATATTGATCATTCATCTATAAATTTCTAGAAAAACAAACAAGAGCAATAAAATATTTGCAAATAATAAATAAATGAAAGATATTTTTATACAAATAATAATATAAAAAATTGTTTATATTAAATAAGTAATATAAAAAAATAATTGTTTATATTAAATTAGCTAACAATATAAAAATAGTCGTTTACGTTAAAACAAATAATAATATAATAAATAATCGTTTATGTAAAAATCTTAGACTTAATTAATTAAATATTTTTATAAACATCAAAAAATAAATACGAAGAAAATATTTAAAAGAATTTTTTCGAAGCAAAAAAAAATCACAAACTAATTAATTAAATATTCATAAAAATCATGGGAACAAAACAGATTTTTTTTTATCATTTCATTTACTCTCGATAATTGCAAGGGGAAAAAAGATAAGATGAGATGAGAGAGAGAACTTTGGGCAATTCTGCGGAAATTCTAATATTGTTGCAATCAAGACCGACCATGGCCGGGCAAATACATCGCGGCAATCCATCCCGTATCAATCGTGCCTCGTGTTTTTCTAAGAATACATCCGCCCGTTCGCCGGCTACGGACCACGAATACGTAATTTTATGCGTGTTTGCTTTACGCATGGGGACACGCTCGTGTGTGCGTGCCGCGGCGTTTTGTATGACGTTGGGACGGAGGTGTCCTTACGCCCTCCCGCACGGCGTTGTTTGTCCAGAAGATGGACTGACCAGCGGCTAAATCCACTCGACATCGGCGCGCGTATATATACATATACATATATATATATATATATATATATATGCATGATT